GTAACGGGGGGTAAGTAATAGGGGGTTTTGCGGTAAGTAATAGGGGGTTTACCCCTAAATTACCTGGGGGCCTCCCCCCCGGACCGCCCGTTATTTCAGGGGCTTACCCCCCTAGACCGCCCGTTATTTTGGGGGGCTCCCCCCCTAAGGCCCCCGCTGTAACGGGGGGTAAGCAATAGGGGGTTTCGCGGTAAGTAATAGGGGGTTTGCCCCCAAATTACCTGGGGGCCTCCCCCCCGGACCGCCTATTTTTTTAGGGGCTTACCCCCCCAGACCGCCTGTTATTTCAGGGGGCTTCCCCCCCAAGGCCCCCGCCGTAATGGGGGGTAAGTAATAGGGGGTTTCGCGGTAAGCAATAGGGGGTTTGCCCCTAAATTACCTAGGGGCCTCCCCCCCGGACCGCCTATTTTTTTGGGGGCTTACCCCCCCGGACTGCCTGTTATTTTGGGGGCTTACCCCCCCGGACTGCCCGTTATTTCGGGGGCTTACCCCCCCAGACCGCCTGTTATTTCGGGGGCTTACCCCCCCGGACCGCCCGTTATTTTGGGGGGCTCCCCCCCCAAGGCCCCCGCCGTAACGGGGGGTAAGTAATAGAGGGTTTCGCGGTAAGTAATAGGGGGTTTGCCCCTAAATTACCCAGGGGCCTCCCCCCTGGACCGCCTATTTTTTCGGGGGCTTACCCCCCCAGACTGCCTATTATTTTAGGGGGCTCCCCCCCCAAGGCCCCCGCCGTAACGGGGGGTAAGTAATAGGGGGTTTCGCGGTAAGTAATAGGGGGTTTAGCTCCGGTCCTATTTCCCCCAAGGCCCGCTCCCAATCTAGAAATAAGTAATAGGGGGTTTATAACTAGAGCCGGCAAGGGCAACTGCCTACCTAGAGAGATACTCTCTAGTAGGCCGCTGCCGAAACTGGGTACCTACAACCGGAAGCTGCTAAAGTAATAGGGGAATTACCACCCTAGAACTGCTAGCAGCCCCCCCCCCATCTCCCCTTTTGTAGGCTGGCCTTTGGGGCCTTAACTTTCCAAACAGGGAGGGAGGTATTCCTATTTTTAACTAAGCTAGCGGCGGGCTTACGCTTAGTAGCTTATAACTATAAGGCTACTCGACTACTTACACAACCCGGCTAGATAACTAAGTCGTCTGCAAAGGATTTAATCCTGCGCACTATATAATTGTAATACACCGGCTAGCAACCCTAACTTTAATAGGGCTGCAGACGCCGGCCTAGTAAGGTTCTAGGCTAAAGGCCTATTCGTATCCGACTAGTGCAGGCAGAAATTACCCCGTTCTGGTATGGATTCTAACTTAGAGGCGTTTAGCTATAATCTAGTAGATAGTAGCTTTACGGCAATACCTGGTTAGACAGCCGTAAAAACTAATTATCTAAATCTGCGGTTCCTCTCGTACTAAGCGGAATTACCATTAGGGCAAGGTTATTAGTAGGGTAAAACTAACCTGTCTTACAACGGTCTAAACCCAGCTTACGTTCCCTATTAGTGGGTAAACAATCCAACGCTTACTGAATTCTGCTTCGGTATAATAGGAAGAGCTAACATCGAAGGATTAAAAAGCAACGTCGCTATAAACGCTTAGCTGCTATAAGCTAGTTATCCCTGTAGTAACTTTTCTAGCACCTCTAGCCTTAAATTTTGAGGGACTAAAGGATTAATAGGCTACACTTTTATGGTTTGTATTTACACTGAAAATTAAAATTAAGGGGACTTTTGCCCTTTTACTCTACTAGAGATTTCTGTTCTCTATAAGTCCCCCTTAGGACACCTACGTTATAGTTTAACAGATATACCGCCCTAGCTAAACTCCCTACCTAACAATGTCTTTAACCCGGATCGGCCCATAAAGGACCTTAACGCTAGAAGTTAGGTAGTAAG